TGCACAAGCTGCTCAATCTAAATTTGTAAGATCATGAAGATTACCTCAAAATTGATCATGAGTGAAGCCTTTTATGCCAATTACAGATATGGTATGAATTAAATATTAGTATATAGTTTTTCAATACTTTAATGATGATTTATTGTATGGAAGATTCTTTAATGACTCCACCAATATAGATTAACAATTTTTGTGAAATAAGTTTTTAAGTGTTGCAATTGAAGGATTGGTAGAATAAGAAGTGAAAGTTGTACGCACTAGATAGACTTCTATTAGCTTCTCCTCACAGAGAATTTTTCATGCCACTATTAAAAATATTAATCATTGTGTTCTCTAATAAACATTGGAAGTATTATCTTGGACATATAACATTAGTTCATTGAAAACTAAGATCCTTTTGTTCGAAAGAAAGAGTTGATAAGCTAAATGGTGATAATATGAAGAGAAATAAACAACTTACAGATGCATTAATCTCTATGCTTAGCACTAACCATATCCCGCATATGAACATGTATTGAGTAAGCAAGGAGTATGAGAAGATTGCACAAACCCTTCTTCATCATCATAAAGCATATTTTGAATTCTAGCATTGTCTTCATTGAATTCTCATGAGTTAAAATTTGGATATTTGGATACCAGTACATTTTTAATATTGTTAGCAAAGTCACACAACTCTTTGGTTTTCCACCTAGTAGCGCAAAATCATTGTAAGCATAAACATATATTGTAGTTAGAATCTTGTTATGTTTAGTGAGAAATTTGGGCCATTTTGCCTCAAGGAGAGTGGAAAATTATTGCAACAAGAAATTTGATACGAAGATGTAGTGATGACTCTTTTTATGAGGTGAGTCTAATTTTTTTATCCAAATCAAATCATTAGATATATTTATTAATCAACATATCATCAAAATAACATTAAAAAAATTGTAAGTGTTTATTCTAAAAAAATGTACTAACTCAAGCAATCATAAAAATGTTGTTACAATGAAAATATCAACATAAATATATATAATATTCATTTATATGATTCACTAACATATGAATTTCAATATTCAATGTATTTTGAACATTAAATCAACTAGTATTAATATAATCTTTGTCATTGTATTGTCAAATAACGTTAATTTTCTAGGTTCCAAGGTTAGAATTCGTCGACTGTGACTCAATCTCATGATTTTGGCTACACTATTTAACGCAAAAAATATACTTCTCATGTTGAACACTTTAGGTAAAATTGTAAAATCTCGTGGACGTAGCCTACAATGGAACCACGTTACTTTTTTATGATACTCTCTTGTGTAATGATGTAATCTATGTTTTTGTATTTTTTATCTTCAATTGATATCAAAACATTTATTGTATTATTCATTTGTCTTAGAGTGTTATAAGTGTCGTTTGTAGGTTGATGACTATGAGTTCAAATCAACCTGGATTATTGTTAATTATTGTGTTTGGTGATCTTTGCGAACAAGCCGATTAGCAATCCTATTTTTCAAACAAATTGTTAGAGAATAGAACGTGCAATCACATGTAGTACTTCGTCGATCAAAACGTGCTAGCTCTGCATTGTAGAACAAAGATTGTTTCAAAATTCATCTTTCCTTCGATTTATTTTTCACTGATTGGTGTCAAGGATTGTTTGTATCATCACGCACGTCTTAATTGACTAGGCATTGTGGACCACATTACTTCACTAGTGAGTTTGAAAGTGGAGCAAGAGTGCAACACGCTTGGAAATCTACAATGATGTTCTAGAATATTTTGTTGTAGACGTGGAAACTGTCGGAGAGCCGTGAACTTGGAATATTGGTTGAATTTTGGATTTGAGTATACGGTGTCATTTAATGTTTTGATTTTGTTTTTTTTCTTTATTATTGTTAAAAATTATTGTTGTTGTTAGTTAATTAGCAATCAAGTACAAGATTGATCTAAATTAGATGATTCATTTGAGAATTTTCTTGTTGTAAGATTTATACTCTCATAGCTAAAAAGAATAAAATTAAGTTGGATAGTACATTCAAAAGATAATTATTTTTTATATGCTAGTGATGTGAAAAGTTATAGGTTTTAGTATTGAGTAGCACCTAAAGTTATTGTTAGAAGAGAATTTTTTTTAATGAATTCAAATCATTGAAAAAGTAGAAAAAATTTTATTTTTAAAAATCTCATAAAAAAATTATCTATTGACGATGTTATTGGTGGAAAAATTGATCTAATGATGTGACACAAGGAGAAGCTTAGGTACAGATGGAGCAAATTCCTTAACAGCATGAATATGAAGATTTTTATTGTTGATTAATTTTGAATATTTGCACCATAGAATAGTATCAAATAAATTATTATACTACAATATCATCAAATTTGATTAGTATAGCTTCTACAAAGTATGAATGATGCACTGATTCAACCATTTTTGAAGATCATGATATTAATACGGAGGAAAATGATGACATTGCGTTGATTTTAGAAGAAGTAGAACTTATTTTTTATAGAGAATCTCAAATTTTATCCAATAAACTTGAATGAATTGTTGCTTTGAAGCATGAGATGCGATCGTTAATGAATAACAAAACCAATGATCTAGTGTAACAATCAAAGAATCAAACTTTGATTGATTGCAAATGGCTAACAAGCTAAAGTATAATCCCACTTATAAGAAGAAAATTATCTTTAAAACCAAGTTGATGGTTAGAGATTTCACACCCAAAAAAATGTGGACTATAACAAATTTTTTTCACCTATAACAAAAATGTTACGATTCGTTTCATATGTGCATTTTCTGCAATATATAATTTTTTTATGTATCATATATACGTAGTTGTAGCATTTTTATAAATCTCTAGAGAAGATAATCTACATTAAACAACTAGTTGATATTGAGAATAAAGGTCAAGATAAGTTAGTTTCTAGATTGCTAAGATTGTTATATGGATTGAATCAATTCCTTAGCCAATTAAATGTAAGATTTGATGAATTCATGAAGTTACAAGATTTTCTTGTATAGATTTATCTTCTATTTATTTTTCCATTTCAGTTTTTTGTTTAGTGAATTATGTGTCTAATTTTTTGTGTATACATGAAAAAGATGAATAATTGAATGTTTAATCTTATTAATCTAGTACTCTATGTGAATAATATGCTCATCTTGGCAAATAATCAATCCTAAATCAAGAATATTATGAATGAACATTCATAGTGTCTTGTTGCAAGTTAAATGAAACACATCATGTATCATTTTGTCATACTTGTAATTTTTATAAAAGTATTGAGCTAGTCAAGAGATTTTCAATCTTCATTGTGTTAATCAAGGCGCATTATTATTAAGTAACACAAGTAACATTTACTAGCAATTTTTAATTGGATCTATATAATTTTTACTCTATCATCTTTTGATTGCAGTTTACTTTTAATTAGTTGTAGTATATAAGAACGTAGTTTGTTAAGTTTACTTCTAGAACTTACTACAAAATAATTATTCAGATAAAGGAGTTTGATGTTACCACAACATATGTTAAGGATTAAATTGTTAGGATCAATTTCTTTTGTAAGTACGTTGACGAAACTGTATTATCTATATTGTATCAATGGACTATAGGTTAGAGAATCTTCTTAAGACGGCAACATCTACATCAACGCTCAACATCATGAAGAATGTTCCTATGAAATGAATTACATCGTATTTTCTCTCATGCAATTATCGTGAAACTTTCATCATTTAAGATATTTCCATCTTGCATAAACCGGTTCAACTATTCACATCTAGTCTAGTGTGAATATCCGCTAGACATATAGTACATATATAAACTAAAATCTTTTAATTGAAAAAAATAAAATATGAAAACTACAATTTTGTAATATATATCAAAAAAAATTATCCAATAAATTGTACAACTTCTTCCCATAGCTTTAGAGAAAGCAATAACTTGTGAAATTCACATGAAAACATTATGTACAAGTGATGAACTTTGAACTCAGTACCACCAATACATTTTTGGGTCTTCAGCTACATCAAAATATATTGCTCATTGTTATGCTGCTGATGCCGTGCCTAGCCATATGTTTTGGATGAATCCCTACATACTTACGTACCCTGACTTTATATTGAGATCAATCGATTCTCAAACCAAAAACATTTCCTTTGAGTTAAGGCAATTTGATTTTAACAGCAGAAGAATCAGGTTGAGTCTGCTCCGTGCTGACTTACATGTTAAAGGGGATCTTGAACCACTTCAATCTCCAAAAGGCTACATCGGTGTGCGCCTTCTACACAATATTTACACGTGTTTTTACAATATTTAAAATTGTGCACAAAAGTGTATTATCACCCGCATGCCTGCTGACCCTGAAGTTTCCTTTTATCCATACTAGTCGTCGAACGAAGATGAATCGCATTACGTTGCTTTCAGGAAAGATCCAGATTTATCCGAAAAGTAACACATGCACACTGGAAACGACTTGGCTGCGTTCCGCTGAGTGGCGTGGAAATTATGACCTTAAATTACGTGCGAGCGGCTTAGAGCTGTTGCCACTCTTGAAATCCACTGCTTAAATTCAAATCTAAAAGCCACCATTTACTCGAAGGTATTTTCTGCTGGCCCTCGATCTAGAGGAATCTAGACGTTGACGAGCCTGGCTGGGACTTCGTGTAATATATGATGGTTAGTAAGTACAAAAGAGACTTCTCCACCCGTCATTAGTCGTCCCTTATTTTCCTCGTCCGTCACTCCCCTTCATACTTAATGACTTCTGCGGATTCGACTACGATATTCATGATGTCCCAGGCGAATACTACTTCAAACATTCTAATTGATACTAGAGGATAAGTTTAGAAACCTTCAAGCATGTCTGTTTATGTTCGTGTGCGACACTTGATGGTTAGTCAAGTGACAAGTCTGCGCATCAAATCCATGAATGCATCTGAAGGTAAAGATGAACATCCCCTTATTGCTCAGAGTTTTCCAGTTTCAAAAAAAGAAAGAAAAGGATCATTGGAGAAAATGGAGAGCAAGCAAAGATTAAACTTAATGTAGATGGTTCGTTTTTATGTGAAAACGCAGGCAAATCGGTGCTATTTGGGCTCAGAGCACCTTTCCCAAGGTTAAGTTCATATTGTACAAAAGTAGACAGCAGCACCTATCGTGCAAAAATTATCCCTAAACAATTTTCATACCAGCCGTGTCTTCTCGAACTGAGGAAAAGAAAATGATTGAAGCTAATGGTACAAATTGCTGGCCAAACATCTCACACAATCACTATGACAAAGCGTTGGGAGGCCTACGCATACTGAGCTCCTGCCTTACCCTCGGCACGCCTTCTAGATTGTAGTGAAGTTGCAGAAGCTCCTGCGCACACAATTTCCAGCCATTAGTGTCTGCCCCTGTAGGACAATGTAACCAAATTAGAAAAGCAAACACTCTTACAAGTCAGTACCTCTGCAGCAGCACGGGCTTTTTCTAGAATCTCGCCATCTTTCTCCAGCCGAGCAATGTGAAATTCAGGAAGATAACCTGATTGTTGTTTTCCTAATAAGTCTCCTGGTCCTCTTAGCTTCAAGTCAACCTCTGCAAGATAGAATCCATCCCTCGATGTTTCCAACATCTTCAGCCTTGCAAGAGATGAAGGTCTTGATCCCAACAATATGCAGGAGGAATCCCTTGTACCTCGTCCCACACGACCCCTCAACTGATGCAGTTGGGCCATGCCATATCTTTCGGCATGCTCTATAACAATCATAGATGCTTCGGGGATATCTATGCCAACCTCGATCACAGTGGTTGAAACCAGAACCTTCGTTTCTCCTGCTTTGAACCGTTCCATTGCCTCGTCCTTTTCATGAGAACGCATACGGCCATGAACAAGACCACACTTGTAATTCTCGAACTCAACTTCAAGGTTCTTGAACTCACTTTCTGCTGCTCGGACATCCGGTAACTCTTCCGATTCTTCTATCACAGGATAGACAACGAAGACGCGTCCTCCATTTTCAAGCTCTTCCCGTACTTTCTGATATCATGTAATACATGACACGTTAAAATACTTCACCCCATGTACATGGTTTTTAATTTCGACCCAAATGTCAACTCATCGATTACTTAAACACTTGAGAAACTATCAGGATTACCTATACAACTCATTCAAAAGATAGAAACTGAGTAAGACTCTAAAACTAGGCTCGTCTAACCTCAATACCTTGTAAACTTCTTGGCGTCCCTTCTTATCTCCTAAAATAGCGTATGTTGCAGTCTCTGGTCGACCTGGAGGCAGCTCTGTAATCTGCCCAATTGTATAAGACGGTGAGAAATCGTAAGCCTAAGATGATAAAAGCACTCTTATTTTGAAAACTAATAGGGGGTCGTCAGACCCACATCTACATATTCTCCCTTTGGTACCAACATTTCCTGTTTAGTTACATCGGACAAATAAATTCTTCTCAGATGACCTGTGATTTCAATCCTCAGAAGACAGGAGATATCCGGTTATGACATGACACTGCTGCAAGCGGAGATTGGACCTGATTCAAATACCTGACTCAGGGCCATATCTCCATGTAAAGCCAATGCCAATGTTCGAGGTATAGGGGTTGCAGACATTGCGAGAACATGAGGAGGCAATGTAGTGGATTTGGCTTCTCCTTCAGTTGTATCTGGCAGTTCAACGGCATCACGTACCTGCAGAATTGCATGCTCATTTTATTTCGTGTTAAAGACATAAAGCTGAATGATGCTAACTTCGGCGATGTAAGAGGTCTTCTTTTTAGATATATATATTGAGCAGCATCTAGATGGAGAAACGAGACCCCTATTATAGATTTGCTCCAGACGCGTATACAGTGAATCGCAGAAACAATTGAACAGGAACTCTCAACGACACTGCATTCTCACCACCAAGCTCAGTAAGATGAACCTTTGCAGCATATACAAGTCACTTCAAACAGTTGAGATTGGTATATGCACCTTGCTATTAAGGCGTCCACGCTGAGCCACACCAAATCGGTGTTGCTCGTCTATAACTCCAAGCCTCAGTGCCGAAAATTTGACACTGTCTGCAATCAGACTATGCGTGCCAACAGCCAAATCAATCTCACCATTTTCGAAACCCTGTAACAAACATTCAAAGAGTTAAAACATTTCACACAGAAAGCAGATAGTGTTACAGGTGACCAGCCCGACGTTATGAGCAGTTTGTCTGAAACCTCCAAAAATAAGAAAGCCAGAAAATTGCGGAAAGTGGTTATGTCGAGCCTTAAACTGTAGATCCTAGGGAAATCACACGAGAGAGTATTGTAGTTCAAAATTGTATAAATAATCAACGTCACAACGATGACACGCATTACACTTACACTTCTTATAACACGGGCTTTGCTTACGGGGGTCGATCCTGTAAGTAATGCTACACGAGGTCTTTCACTTTCATCTAATTTTTCTAACCAGGAAGAGATCCTTTGGTAGTGCTGAACAGCTAAAAATTCTGTCGGCGCCATCAGAGCTCCCTGCAGTGTTGGACAGGTAAACTTGCTGTAAGATCAGCTCTAGTCATTCTTATACGAGGTAATTACGCCTTCGTCTCTCACGGTATCTACTCAATTAGCATGAAAATATAAAATCCAGCGCTCTTCACAGCAAGAACGAGAAGAGATTTCAAAAGCATGACCAAATTGGGACCAGTTCGAACTTTACAATCTACTACTAATTTCTGGGAACGAAACAAGATGAGGAAGAACCTGGTAGCCTGCATCAACAACTTCTAAAAGTGCGAGAAATGCCACCACTGTTTTGCCGCATCCCACATCACCCTACAAAGAACCAAAGAGTTATTCTCAATTACGCTGCCAAGCATTAACTAGAAGTTAGGACATTCCCAACGAAAAAGAAGATAAATTCTTGATGAGAATACGGAACGGCAGCTACGGACTCTCTCTTCGTCCAAGTACCTGCAAAAGTCGGCTCATTGGAACAGGTCTTTGTAGATCCCACATGATCTCCCCGGCTGCCCTTATTTGAGATTGAGTCAAAGTATATGGAAGAGATTTCACAAGCTTCAAAGTCAAGGGGGACCAGTTCTCCATGTTGAGAACTCCCGATTTGGATACCAGGGCCGGGTCAGCCATACCAGCAGCTGCAAGACATTTGCCGGCTAGTTCTTGCCTAGGTAGAAGCATTCCAAGCTGCAAGAAGTGCTCACTATAAGATCTCTATGTTCGAGACTCTCATGTATCCACCAATAAAGAAATTTAGATGGAGACAAGACATTTTAGTTACAACACGGATTCGGTAACAATAAGAACACAACTTCATCCCATAAAGATAGCGTCTGCAATCTGTTCAAACACTTGACAATATCCGCAGGAGTAATATCTACCTTTCAGTAAAGCAAAGAGGTTTAAGCTCCATATAAAAGGTTCAAACGTGAAATCTTACCTGTAAATAAAAAAACTCATCAAAAACAAGCCTTTGGCGCGCTAATTCAGCGTCTCTTGCGTCTAGTGGAGAGTGGATGCCAACGTAAGCCTGTCATTCGCAGTTCGTGTCCGTCAACGTGAGACTTGATATACTGGCACGTGACTTCAACCTTGTTTCAAGAATTACCCCAGCGTAAATCCAACAACTGAAGAAAGATAGGTACTGAAATCACCTGCCGCAATTCCTGGACTTCCCATTTGTCGCGAAAATCTTCTGGAAGTGGGTCAACTTGTGCGGGTATAATCGGCAGAACTCTTTCACATTCCGATACAGCAGTATTTATAGAACATCAGTTATCAGCTGATGGTCTTATCCAGGATCCAACCATACGTAAGAAGATAAGTCAAGAGAGCGTGCTGCACTACGTAACCATAAAGGAGGCCATGCGCAGATATCTTCAGTGATTTTGGAGTAAGCACGTATGCAAGTGACAAAAGTTTTAAACGGGTAGAAAATGCGTGAACAACTTGAAATCTTGTCGTTCTCTGTCCTGAATAATAAGGAATATAACCCTAAGCAATATAAAGTGCACCTACACTTACAAACAGCATGATTTTAAAATATACATCTAATATCAGACAGCATATAACTCATCCAAACTTGTAAAAGTGCGTACTTTGTGTTGCGTCTGTTTTTCTAAAACAGACGCAACACAAAAACCGATTCGTACGGGATAGAAGGTCCTCTCATCTTGACAACAAGTATGCTCTCGTATACAAATGTCTGAGCATGTATTCTTAATCCCCCCTTGCTCTACCTTCCAGCATTTATTTACCCAATCCTTCCCTTCTCATCAGCCTCTTCCAGCATTTATTTACTTAATCCTTCCCTCATCATCAGCCTAATCCAATTCGGTAAAACCAGAGGAGAGGAGTATCATACCTATGAATGCAGAATTCAATAGTTTTAGACTGAAGACCACCTTTTGCAGAATAAACAGGGTACGGTTTTCCTCCCGGAATAGTTTCTGGTAAGCTCAACACACTTGCAGAGGTGTCCTTATCTTCATCCCAAAGCTCAAGATTGTATTCTCGAATCTCAAAATGACCAGGCTGCTGCAGTGCTTTCACCTGTAACAAAAGCACTGCTGAGATAGAATCTCCAAGTATTTGTTTTTATCATCTACAAGCTCGCCTTCTTAGTCAAGCTTGTAGAATGATACAACTTGAACATCACAGTCTCAACCTCTCACGCTTTCATTCATTCATTCATTTCATCCGATGATTCGCTGGTCGTTAAAGGGGCGAATGAAGAGCATTGCTGTTGAGCATTACAATCATATCGGTGGAAACTGAATAAGAGTCCACACAACATGAAGATAGATGTGGCACATAAAATGGATAAGGCGTCTCAAGAGGCCTTGCTACTGTTGCTGGCTCAGGTGAAGTAAGGCCTAGTAACTAGGTGTCAGGTTTCCCGGCTTTAAGATCCTAGGAACGCATACGCTCAAACTATTAGGCGATCACCTGAACTTTCATGCCGTTATTTTTTAGTCATCAGATGAGCACAGTCTTCAAAAATCATGTACAAGTGAATCTGTTGGACGGAAGAAAGGGTAGACATCGCTAGAAGAATGAACGGATGCTAACCTTGCCACAAACAGTGACTTGGGACGATACGGGGTACTTGTTTGCCATCGCATTAAGGAACCACGAGCTGGCATATCTTGAACCTCTGTAGAACTTCTTCAGATGCAAAAACACTATTTGCCCCGATCTTCCGTCACTGGATGGGCCTTCGATATTTTCTGACAATAGCTCCTCGTTGTTGGTCGAATCCACTTCACTTCTAATGATTACTTCTGTCATTCCTAGACTGGGGCCCCGGGGCAGACCTCTGCAGTTAAGAAAGATATTACATTATTCCACAACCAACCCTGTAGGGTAGAAAATCAGTAGCGATGCTCGGAGTAAAAACATAGATGCACTTCTTGAATGACTTTCGTGTGTAAGCAACTAAGAGTTTAACCACACACATCTCTACTTGCGAAAAACAAATTGTGAAAAGAAATAAAAAATGTAACTGTAGCAAAACAGGAAAAAACTAAAGTCACCAGACAAGCAAACGAGGATGTACATTCGTAGCTCACTTTGATTGCACTATAGTTCCTACAAAACTTAGATGTTGCCCATCTTCCACTCTCTGTCCAGCCTCCTGAAAATTTCTATACATTCGCGGGTAATGTTGCAACAACATTCGCATCTGTTCACGAAACGAGACAAAACCTTTTAATAATCATCCAGGTTGCTGAAAGACTCAATATTTAATCTCTTTGACCAAAGCTCCTCACGGGCCGTAAATTACCAGACCTGGACTGTGGAAACGGATCACTTTTGCTTCTAGCTCTCCCATGATCTAAGTACGACAAAGCTTATATTAAAGAACCCAAAGAAATACAATATTGTTATATAGCGTCGAATACAGGTTACAAACAACAACGGATGGCAACGGATGGCAACGGGGTCAGGTTCAGACTGTCACCGTTACAAAACCGTTTTCCTCCAAACGGGACCGCAAGTAAGTCGACAAGCATTTTATCGAACTCATCGGCATGTCCAAACCCCAGGCGTCTTTGAGGCTGGGGCGCTTTGAAGACGTAACAGATTTCCCGTCTATCTTTAAAGAGGAGGCTGTTAGCTCTACTTTCGATTCCGGCGTAACGCTTCCATCAACAGCTACTCTGGCAACATTTCTCTTGTCCTTCTTCACAGAGGCAACCTTTCTCCCTTTTGCAGGGACTGAACTCCTGGTTTCCGTTACGACATTCTTGACGTCAACTACCTGTGAGCTGGAAACTGAGGTGCTTTGTCCTCCTAAGTTGAACAGCTCTATGGGCTGGCTACTCCCAAAAATGATGCCTGGATGTACAGGACTAAGAGGAGTTGGTAAAGTTTTCCCTTCAATCATCTGTTTCTTCCCTGTTTGGGATTCCTCTTTTTCAGAAGGAGAAGTGTATGATCTAACACCGTGCACCTTTCCGTCTTTCTTGTGGTCTTGAAGACCACGGCTGGCTTCGGTAGAAGCACAATCATGGTCAAGCAAATCTTGAAGATTCTCAAACCCGATACTTCGCGCAACCTGTCGAGAGTGAAAGTTCAAATGGAGGTGAAATTAAATATAACGAGGTGCACGAGGTCAATCAATGCTCGTTCTTCCCTTCTAGCTTTCCCTTGACCATAAAACTGAAGAGGACTGGATTGACTGCGTAGCTGTCTAGCAACCTGCCTAGTGTGGAGCACACTTCGTGCTTGCAAGTAGACATTCCCTGCTACTGAGAAGCGTCTACACAACAGATAAAAAGTGACTTTTAAAATTAACAACGAACGGAGTAGAAGCATACCCTATTCAATAGGATTATCCGATCTTCTTCCTCCATTTGATCATATTGCTTGGAATCCTGCGAGAGCTGTCGAAATACACCCGAACTTTCTGAGCTCGATTCGGCTTGAACGCTAACCTGCTCGAACAAGAAGTCGCCAAACCTGAGGAATTATGAACAGGATGTACATTATTTTCTCCACAGGCCTGCACAAAAGAGGAGAGAAAGATTGGAAGTATGCAAGAAGGATGAGAATGAAGAAGAACGGACAAAAACATTTGAAGCTGACGTGGAAAAAATCTGACGACCCGGCTGCAATAATCGATGGATAAGAAGCAAGAGAAGATGTTTGCAGACCAATTTCTCTAGGTAAATATACGATATTGAGCCATGAGGGGTGCATGACGTAACCACAGAGTGTTCTCATGCATTTACGAGTAGATACTTCCAACCTACTCCGTGAAATATTCAACGGGTGCACGATCCATACGAAACAGAATCAAGTGGGTACCGTTTATTTTTTCCTGTTACATTTGCAAACCCCCTCTGCGCTTCATAGATGATAGCTTTAACCAATCTTTCGGATGTCCCTCCCTGCAAACCAACAAATTGGCATCACTTTGAGGTCATACAGGCTCAACCGACGTACCGTTGACTAGACCTCCTCATCCGCACTACCAGCTCGATGAGCAGTTTCATCTCACAAGACATAATTTCCTTATGTTACTTGCACACTATTGTAAGCGTATATCTGATACCGGCCAAACAATCGAAAATGCGTATCGTCTGTTTACTCGAAAGTCAAATTTCTTTCGTTACTTGCAGCGTACCTATCCTTGGTGTTAAAAAGGAAGGCAGTAAACAAGTCTGTAGAGTAGGCACATAGCGAGACCAGAGAAGATTCCAAAATATGGATCTCGAGTGTGCATGAGAACTGATTCTAGGGCTAATTGGGGGTTCAATTCATCTTTGTTAATTCCAATACCACCGCTCAGACGACGCGGCGTTGATTCATACCGAACTCTTCAAAACTTAATTACAGGGAACTAATATCTGTAAACGGAGCAACGTTCAAACCATTGTTCTAGTACAAGTTAAAACGAATTGCTTCTGCTGGATCGTCGATGACTTTGTTGCATTCTGTACGAGTCAATAATGCTAATAGTCTAAAACATACCAGTGGTTTTCTCTCGGACATACTCTGGGGATGGAGATCCGCAGAGCTGGCCTTCAATTTTGTAGTCACCACAGGTGATGTGAAAGTTACGTCTTTAGAGCCCTCTACACCACCTTCTGCACAGGCAGATCAGCTTATCAAATAAGCAGCATATCTTTTCATTTTCCGAACCCCGATTTGATATTGATGCCTTTAGCAAGGGCAATGCGCAAAAAGGCTGGGCTTAGCAAGGCTTTTCTCACGCGACTGGACTTTAGTATGAACAAGTTCAATATATCTTGGACTCCAAATGGCATCCGTCCAGGAAAACAAGCACCGGGACGACAGAACACATTGCAAAACCAAGGACTTTAAATTGAAAAAAAAACCACTGTCTGGTCGTCTATGCCCCTTAATATGCAATTTGCGAGGTCCTAGGCCAAAATCCTCCCACTTCACTTCCCTGTCTGCGGTTCATGCTTGTGAGGGGCGTCCAGGACTCAGCGATGATATGAGTAACTTTCATTCCAGTCAGATAGTGCACAGATAATGCATATTCAAACCATCGAAGACATTTGACGTGTGATTTAGTAAGCACTATCTTTGCCTGAACCACAAAGATTCATTTCGCTCGTTGATAACTTCAGCCTGCATCTATGCCCTCACTACCAGGTGCATATAATCATTAATTGTGGTCATGCTTTGATGATGTTTCTAGGCACTACAACAGCGTAGTCAGTATCACTTGATCGAACGAGCATAATCAAGCTCCCATACACAGTAGTGCTCAGCAACACAGATAATTTGATAGTACATAATAATCTAAGAATATAATCTAAGAAGTGGAAAGCAGAAGCGCTAAACCTCAGGTGAGAGCCATGAACACTACTAGAGAACGTATTCCAAAGGAACAAAGTGCAGAGATCATCAAGCAACAACAGTAATGTGTGGCACGTAGGACCATCTTGCAATGCATGACAGACACGCTAAGTACTCTGGTAAAGATAACATGTGAGCTAAAAAGTTCGCAGCCATACTTTAAAATCAAGGATGGTAATCCTCCTTGGCATTTTATTTTCGGTTTCTTTATGGAAAATTCAGCCCATTAGGTGCGCTAAATCTGAACAAATCGAAGTGGGCATTCTGCTAAGCCAATGACCTGAGTGTATCCTGCTCCAGGTGATTCTATGCGTTGAAGAATCCACAGAATGGCTGACTTTGTGGTAGGGTCTTCGAGCGAAGGTCCCCAAAAAGATGCAAGAACTGAAGCTCCAAAAGGATCGAGGCTGGAAGTCGCACTGCTTGTCACATAAACAGGTGACAAGTTTTTGCGGGACAGCACTTGCACCATACTGAAGTGGAGTTTCAGTAGTGACGACAGAATTGAATCCTTTTGATAACCTAAGTACATCAAAACCTCCATGTCGGCAGTAGCGCGCTCGGCAGACAGGAGCTCCAGGTGAGGAGATGATCTTCACCATTTTTGTCAGCATGATTCGATGTCAACAGATTCAACCAAGTGCCATTTCTGCACGTGGAAAGTAGCCAGAGATTCAGTAACCAGAAAGTAGCATCATACGAACCTCCTTCAAGGCTACATTACAAACTGGCATGTTCACGTTCTGCAGCTTCAGAGTATTAATTTATCTCCTTACGCCATGCTAGTAAACAGCTTGATATTTCTAGGCTAGTTCCCGGCATCAAAACCAGTTCACATTACAGAAACGATACAGAAGAGCATGACACTGAGATTTGTCTCACCTGGACAAACCAGAGAAGAAACTCTGAGCAGAGAAGCACAGCCGGCAACGCCAGACAGGTACATTCCCTATCCACCGAGTGATATCATTTGTCACCTTCTTTGGAATCGCCCTTTCCAGGAGGGTCTATCTTCAGAAACGAAAAAGGTTCTGTCGGCTCCTCCCTACAATAGAGACAATGTGAACAGAACAGATCAATTCTATTATGCTGATAACAGATGTTGTGGCCTAAACCATTGAAGAAGCCCAGAAAACAGCTCTTTAGTGCATAGACTGCACAGCTATGAAAAAGGGGTGTGGGAGCAACCTGACATAATTATAAAATCGTAAAATTTGCGTGATTCGGGCATAATTCGCAAAAAAGAAAGAACTGAACCGATCCATTCAACGTGAAGGAGCTTGAAAAAATCGAAAAAAAAATATCACATACCCTGGATTCGAGCGAATGCACTGCCAAAGAAGTCTCCACGGACCGGGCAGATTCTTTCGAGGATCTCCTTCGAATAGTGCCTGCGAATGGGAGTCCATCCTCAAGTTCAAAAGCCAAATGCACAAATCTCCAAATTCAAAGGTCGATCGGCAATCCAGCGACAGATTCGACACCTACGACACCGAAGCGGAAACAGAGCCGAGAAACGCGAAGCGAAGAGCCCGGACTAAAGAGAGAAGAAAAACGAAAAAACCTGAATCAAGTCCTCGAGGCGATCGTTGCAGCGATGAGGACGGGCAACTTTGCCCTCGGGATGCTTGTAAATCTGGCGTCCCAATCGTGCTTCGGCAAGGCGACGATCCTCTGGCTGCTCCTGGTCCTGCCTCAGAGTCTGCTCTAAGCCCGACGACGCCACATTCGTCTCTTCCATGGCAGACTAAACCCTACGCTCGCTCTTTCCCGACCTCTTTACTCTGGTCGCCCGCTCTTCCCCGGTCCTTTGTCCCCCACCCCCCAGTTCCACCGGTAAACAGCCCCGTACTGCGCTCTTGTCTTGTTCCTCTTTCTCGTACTAGAACTTTAGGTGACAGTCACTTTGATGGCAGGACGGGAGGCGACGGCACTCGCGAGCCACATGTTGCTGCTCCTCGTGATACTCTTCCCGTGAACGTGGTTATCACCTCCGTATACTTGTTCGCAGTTTCAGCTCGAACCAGGTATGGAGCTCAGTTCTTCCATGCCATAGAACTTATGTGAACGAACGGCTCGCCAAAACTTTTCCAATCGTGTTTTGGCCCACTACATGCATGCAAGGTTTACCCTTATTGGTCTAAAAATAGTTTTAACATGTCTCAAATAGTCTACCAACACTTTTTTGTTAAAGTTACGTGTGTGAATATATATACATCAGAATTCATATGTCAGTGTTTTTTTACTGATGTATGTATAAGGAATGTGAATTTTAAAATATTCACAACATATTCTAGAATACATTTTCATAGTTTAATTTCACGAAACTACACTTTTTTAAATTGACATTGAAACTTGTTCGGATCATTATGTATGGATACAACAGTATATTTATTTATTTCTTTATATTTATATCCAAATCTGTTCAAATGTGACCATGTGTAATACCATTCCACTTAATTATTGCATTAAAAATAATTTGATCGTAATAATATATACAAAATATTCAGTTCAATCAAATATGATGTCACGAGTCTGTAGAATAGACTACTCAAAGTTGGACCTTATACTAAACTTCGTTGTATAGAAGTTTCATCGATCTACTCTGTTATAAATCACGGCCTTCAGTTGTACTCGTGTCTCGGTCAGTTGTTATCGTTGTTCGAAACTAGAATATTGATTCATTTGTACCACTTCAAGGAACTACTCTTTGATGTCGTTCGGTGTGCATTTCCAGACATTCCAACTCCGGCGGAAGCGGACTGTTCTCTCAGGCACATTAGTGCGTTCACACGTTACATGACATGAACGTGGACGTTCCTTGGGCGTGAGCTGGACAGGACTGCCTGTACAGACTCTTTGGTTACAGACGGGTGCAAAGATGATGAGGAGACGCTCTACGTAGACATCTCAGGAGTTCCAGGTCTCGGCCCATGTGCTCACGACAATGATTTTCTACGACCAATCCTACGCGAACGCAGAACAGATAATCACTAATTACGAGAATGAAGTACCTCTCACTGATGGCAAATATCAAGAAATGAGTTGTATGTGAGGTCACAATGATTTATATTGCAGTTCCCGAGTGACAATTCTTGCTCATTTCTTGGAATGCATCTCAACATGTGCATGCCCGTTCCACTCATCTCCTCAGTGATTGAAACCACTATTTATGCATCAATACAAACGTGATCATACTGCAATCAGCTCACCAACGTTGGAAATAGCGTGACAGCGGAATATATGCAGTACCCGAGGACGAAAAGAAATCGCTCCTTTCTCTATCAACCGGTAACAATGTGCGTGCCGTGTCCTTCATCTGCACTTTGATTTGGACAACAGTGCCTTTACATCGATACAAAGAGTACGATCATGCATGCAGCTCGACGACTTTTCAGCTACATCTTCACCGAAGACGAATCAAGAGAATTACATACGCTGGGACGGGAAGTGCATCATTCGCCCAGAAGGGGAGGGATTGGTCGCCAAACAAGAAATCGAATAATGCCACACGCAAAACTCTTGCACGAGAATCCAGAATTAGGTGGAAAAAAGCCAGCACCTTTCAATTTCAGTATTCCTTGCGTCAAATAGGGTTCTTGCCCGCATTACACGGCTGAGAAACATCTGTACCGACCTACGGTATGCAGATCAAAACAAAATTCAGGCGGACCTGGGCCTCAGATATTCCGATTGGAGGTACAAAGGATTTAAACTTCGAACAGCCTCGCTTCTCTCAGAAGTCTGAAAACTGATAGAGAATAAAGAAAGTTTACAATGCACGTGCGTCAAAGAACAAAAAATTCGGGTACAGAGGTCCACAGCCGCTGTGTATCGTACAGCATGCGGTTCAGTAAAGCTCGTCACACTCCTCCTCTTGCGCTCCGCTAGAAGTAGCACACACAAGATTTCTCTCAACAACCGTTGCTGGCATCACTCCCCTGAGTACTCCCCACTCCTTCTGCAGAGAAAAAATACAATCGCAAGTCCTCGTCGAATCGCGGCATTCCTCGACAATGAGCCTCAAAAGAAGCTGGGAAACGCATCCAGAGGATGAATGAGGTAAGTCAAGACCAACGCCAGAAACATCAGGACGTAAGCGATGCCCTGGTCGATAGCGTGACTGTCGGAACTCGGGCCAGGAGCAGGACCCGGAGCTGGCGCTTGGGCATTCACAGCCGGGACGAGGGCCCCCGCGAAGAACGCCAGAATCAGCACCATAATCGTCGACTCGAACGATCCCCAGACGCGAGCCATCGTCTCTCCTCGGAGCGCAACGAGCCCGACGCTCCGAATGCCGGACACACGGAGGAAACCAGCGTCGGATCACGCCTTTGCCAGCCCGTGCAGAGAGCTCGGCCGAGGCTGTAGTGCGAGGAAGAGCATAGACGCCCGACGCCCGACGCTCGTCCCGTGCAACGCCCGAGAAATGAGTGGGTCGAACTGATCGACCCTCAAAGGCCAGCAGGGGGAGGCGAGGCGAGGGGACGGGTCACAGGAGGAAGGAAGGGCGCTGATGATGCTGATGATAGTGATGATGGCCGGATCGCGCCCCCACAAGAGAACTCGAGGCCAGGCAAGGAACGGGAGATCGCGAGTGATAGGCGAGCGGGGCTGCAGACGAATGATGTAAGTTCCAACTGCGGGACGATGTCGCAACTTAGCACCACGCACTGGCCTGAGCAGACGCGACAATGGGTTCCCGCAGCTCCGTCTGGAAATGCGCCTGTCAGCGGATAGAAAGAGAAAGTCGCTGCAGGACAGCGTCGAGAACATGGAACCCCGGCCCGCGCATACGCTGCAGTCGCGCGCTCGCCGGCCACTGCGGGTGGCCAGTCCAGCGGGTACGCCATCCAGGCAGGCAGCTGGTCCGGCCCGTTCTCGTCCGGGCCCCCGACCACGAGGACAACTAGGCCGAACGGGCCGAACGACGTCCCGCGGCGGGACGGCGGCTTTGGGGACCCGTTGCGTTGGCGACGACATGTCTACAGGCCCTCCTCGAGCCTATTTCTCGCATGTTTTTCGTACGCACATTTGCTCTTCTGCTATTTTGTATTGAGGGCTGTTACCACGTCGCTGGAGACTGGCTGGCTGGCTGGCTTTCCTGCTGCTTGGTTGGTGAGTCCGAGCTTGCTGCTAGCAACAGCCAACGTGTGGACCTGTGATGAGTGGAGCCAGACTGGTTGTGGTTGGGTTGCGGGTATTCTTAGAGGAGTTTGTGGTGGCTGTGTAGGTATGATGTCTCAAACAAGTTTCCCAACAGTACAGATTTCTGAACAGGGCGGTCTGCCAGAGTGCATGTGTATAACTCGTATTAAGGGAATAGAGTCTACTATAGGTAGTCTGACTGTCGCCAGCAACTCGTGCAAACGAGTGTTCTCAATGGCTGCTGCCTTCACCTCTTTAGATATTTTTTCAGTGCGGAGCTTTACCTCATGTCCGCTGTTCCTGTCCCTCACTCACTGTTGTATATTGACGTTACAAAGCCTATGTCCCAGAACGACGTAGAAGCGATTCATACACGGACTATTTGAGGTCTTTCCTTGGCTCAGCCGTGCTGAGACAACGGGTGTGCATTTCGTTGTCTCACCAAGTGCAAGTTCACTTCCGTTGGAAAAAGCCAGTTATTTATTCGAAAATTCTAGATGGTGAGGAAAAGGTGGGCTGCTGGTGTAGGAATCGCATTTTGGGGCACAAAGGTACTTTCCTCCACAATGGAATGTGTGGGGAATACTTACGTACCGCCTAAGGAATCAAATAACGCCCTCAAAATATTTATACGGGAGAAAGGTAGAGCGCAGAATTGTGTTTTAACATTTCGAAGATATTATCATTTTGAAGACAGTCAACCTACCGACTGACAGCTCATATGGCTGGTTTTTGTAGTATGTTGTTCGAGTCCCTTCATTCTTCACAACGTAATTCCCACTACGTTTCGTAGGTGTTTATACAGAATGAACACGTAGTGATAATTTCTGTTATTGGGCCAGCGTTGCAGAGACAACTATCAACATCAAACAGATTCCTGGCAAGCCACATAAGATCTCAGACGGTAGTCACAAAAAAAAGATAATCACCAGCGATATGAGAAGTCTTATGCCAAATATTACATCGATCTGTATAAATACAAGGTCCAATTATGTTTAAGTTGTCTATTAATAGAAACACAACGAAAAGTGACGACAAAGTTCTCAGTGCCAGTTCTAATGGTACCATCGAGCCCAACTGTAAAGAAAACAAGGATGTGAATTACGGCACTTCATATACACATCAAAAACTACCACCACCACGGTCATGCGTCTCGGTCTAAATAGAATCTAAAGTCGAGAATAGAACAATGTTAAAATTTTGGTTTGATAAAATAGAGGTAAAAAGTATACATCATCGAGAAACATCTAGTAAAATATAAGAACTACATTACTACAACCGGAGCCACCAACTTCAACCGATCCCGTGATTCCTTCCGACACGTGGCGTTCAAGCAGGACAGATTGTTCACGCTGTTACGAGAACTTTTGCCAGAACAAACTATATTCCTCTGTCACCTCCTCACGACGAGCGCATATCCAATACGGTTCAATTGAGAGAATCATCACGCTCCGTTCTCCAGAACAGAAGATCTTTCATCAGAGTGGACTCTCAAAAATAACAACTACATATATTAGTAGGAGGAAACCCTCATCTCAAATCCAATAAAAGCCACTCTGATACACGCGCATACTTATGGATCAGCTTCATGATGACCACTAAACTACACGAGAATGAAGAATGAGCTTAACACTTAAAAACAGGGGACGAAGCAAGAACTTTAGGAAGCGCACGAAAGATGACCAACATGGTAGAACAGCTTCCTCACCAGTGTGTGCCCTTGGCTCAACCAGTGCATGAAAGGCTGGACATATCATCATCTCATCATCTCATCTCATCTCATCAAAAAGCCATGTTGTCTCAGTATCTCGTCAACAAACATCAACCAGCGAACGACCTGTCCTGCATCATGCCCGCGAATTGACTTGGGGTGTGCGGAAAAGCTCAAGCCGTCCTAGTGACTGTCTTTTGGACAGCTGAGCAACCCTTGTCTCAAAATGTTGCGATCAAGAGCCATTTGACCTTTGGATGGTGTAGCATGACTACCTGATATATCGCACAATTAAAGAAACTGATTGCGTGAAAACGGTCAATTCAATACCTAAGAGTGAAAATTGGCTGGTGCCAACCCAGCTGCACTCACATTGCAAACAAATGGGCAAACATACCCGCACATCAAGTAAAGCAGTCAAAGATGCACAGTAGTCCCAGTGACGCACAATGAAAAGTGCAGCTGCACATCTGGTCACACAACCCTCTGATGCAAATTCTACCTTTGTGTGCAAAACGTAACTGCGCAAGTGGCCTCCATGCAGCCCTGGGCCTTGGACAGCAACATTCAAAGAAGCGGGATGAACAGCAATCAGGTCCAATTCTTCCACTCAGCAGCTACATCAGCAGAAACGGCGGGCGACCACACGGAGACCCTCCCACCACCACCACCATGTGGCCACCACAGCTACCAGCGGTGTTCCCACGACCCCACTCTTCACTATCACAGCCCAGATTTCATGATGTAAATTCCTGTCAGAGAGGAGTTACTTCCCCAGAAGATTCAATAAGTATTGGGCAAGCAATCACATGGTAAGCAGGGACTCACATGGACACTACCGCACCGAAAACTTAGGCACGGGAGGGGAGAGGGTACTGCACATTACCCGATTTACAACACCTATGTCAGTTCTGGACCACTGTTCCCCAGAGCTGACATAGTTCACTGGATCATGCTTACACACTGGCCAGTGGGTGCTCTCTACAAGAGCCAGAATCCTACACTACCAAAAAGTAACCTAAAACAATATTGCTCCAGGTGAACAGACTAACCATCCGACACCGAAAATATTGCCAATTTTAAGAAGGCCAGTCCTTATCCGCTTTTCCAACCACCCCAGCTCCTGGATGATAAGATCGACACCGAAACTACTGCACAAACGAACCATTGACCTTCGGTACTTCCTTATAATCTCTGCCTCCATTCTGTCATGTCTACCATTCAGCGGCCATGCATACCAAAGCCAGTCACTCCGTCTCTACATCAACACAACTTGAAATTGTGCTGACTCATTGATTCTGCAAAGAGTCAACAAGACCAGTCAGCTGTGAAGAAGGTATAATTTTCAGTCAGATAAAAAGAGATGACACAAGCTTCAATTTGGAAGAAGTGTGGAGACCACCGGGAAATTGAACGTATTCGCGTTCACGAATCGAAACTGTGAGTTGAAGAAGTGATGTTGAGTTTGATTCTTGAATCCCAAACAGGAGATTCAATCATATGGTGATTGAGACTTTAAGTAAAACACACACACAAGGCAAGACGAAGATATAAAGCAACATGTCACATACTAGAAGTAGTGAAGAACGAGAATAAAAGAGAGTCAGATCACAGGAAATGAAGGATAGTTGGTTAACACAAAGGCTTGTGAGCGGAAGCAGGAAACAAGGACAGCAGACAGAACCTCGTAAATAGAACTATTTTCAAACCCAAGATTCAACCACCGAACAGTCATCATAAAACCAAGAGCTAAAAGACAATTACGTGGAAGTATGAAGGTGAACAGGTGAATGTAAAATTAAAGACATCGTGTACCTCATGGTCAGACTTTTGAGGTGAGACGTCATCAGCTTTTAATGCTGGAAGTGGTTCGGGGACGCTCTCTTGAATCATTTCTGGAGATGGACTGCGGTCCGCTGGCGAAGGGCTTCCGACTGAGCGCGACTCACTTCGACGCTGAGGCGAGACTGACCGCTTTCCAGCACTGCGAACTTCAGGTGATGCTTGTCGAGAATCGGGCGTGCGGCTGCGCCTGGAAATAAGGACAGTCATACGTCACTAAAACAATCATACACTCAGACATACGCAAACTCAAATCTCGGGAGCAGGAAACGGAAAAAAGAGTTAAGAAAATACAGCACATTTCACAAATATGTGTGGCACCTTTCCTGAGAGTGGCCCATGTGTTCTAGGTTTAGTGCCAGGGAGGCAACAAAGGAGAAGTCGGACAATAAAACAAAAGAGTCAAGACGACCAGAAGAGTCAAACGTTGTTTTCCAGAACAGCCCAGGCCTTGCCAAAACAAAACCTCGAAACACAAACGAAATGACAATTGTTGAGCAACAAGGTGATCAGAAAATTTGACTGTTTACCTTCCATTTTCTCGAGGAGAAGCATCCCTGGTCATTTCCTTCGCGGGCTCGGCAGAGCGGCGATGGCTGCTGCTCAAACTCCGTGGACGGCTGGATGCCCGGTTGGGACTGGTATCTCTGCCTCGACTGTCATCCAAGTGAATTAAGGTAAGAGAGAATACTCTGTGCACAGATTACAGCCTTGGATCGAGTACACAGTACGGAGCCACCTGCAACACTGCTACAGACATTGAGCAACAATCTATAACAGCAGTCATAGAACAGTTCAGATTACCTCCGTGACGCTGACGGTGCTTTTGGGACTGGTGATCTGCTGCGGACAGGGGATCTACTTCGAGAACGTCGAGTATCAACATCGTGAGACCGTCCGCGGCTTCGGCTGCGACTTCGACTAACACTTGGAGATGGACTGGGACTGCGATGTCGATGATGTCGGTGATGACTTCTCTCCCTCTCTCTTTCTCTCTCAGGCTCCCGAACCCTTTCCCGTTCATACCTGTCATCATGACCACGTCTTGGGCGATGATCTCTGTCTGAATGCTGATCTCGATTCCTCCCACGGCTGCCAACAACAGCGAACAGATTAACGCATGAGTGTTATACCAAAGCAGTACAATTAACTTCGTCCATCAAGTACTCTTCCTATACTTCAACAGTTACCCTTCAAACCTTCAGTGGCCTTGGTGATGACAAAACCTGGGGGATAACGATACAAGGTTTGGGGTATAAGTTAGCCACCTCTAACTGAAACCAAGTTAAAAACTGCAACCACATGAGAATTGCAAAGAAAACCGATGCTTGCTCCTTCGATGGGCACAGCCAAGCCTGAGAACACGAGAAAAGAGAGAAATACCCATATACTTTACATGCTCCTTGTACACACAGGCGATAGGTCCAAACATAACCACAAATTAGACTAGGGGATGTCCATGTGGAAGTGTACACGGTAATACGCACGATCAGTATGCAAATCAAAAAAAAAAATGCCACCATACTCCTAAATAAGGCAGACTACGACGGCACGAAATAGCCAAACACTTCCTGGAATGTGTACACCACTCTCAGCCGGCTCCACCTCCTGGGTTATTAGTAAACAGTTCCACAGGTGCCCGGGTATGTAATCATGCAGTAAAGCGTGACATCACTGTTGATGATACATCCCACTCCTGTCTGTGAACTTGAACCTCGAAGACGCTCACTAAGGGCTCTAGCAGGACGGCGAGATACCGGTATTTGCCTATTTAGATTATTCCTCCAGACAGAATGTGTTTAGCGTAACACTCTACAGTGAGCTCTACATATCGTTATCTTTCCTCATGGGAGCTGATTGAACTAATTGTCTCTGGCCTCTTTCCGTTACTAGAGAAGAGTTTGGCACTGGGCAGTTCCATGCATCATCCCACTCAAGGTGTGGGGAAGTAGGACAGATAGAAACAACACCTGTCCTGTAGCGTAAACATACCTAACAGCCGACTTTCCGATAATCAAGTTTCGGTGATTTTTGGCAGCAGCGTCTTCGGGCAGGCAACTGGGTTCAAAAGGTAAGTTTTTGCTTGTGTACTGAATTCGAAGTAAAGAAACGTCTTCACCGACTTCAAAGACTAGGGTTCATGATTCACCCTGGGCCAAAGTTAAACAGGGGAGTTTATCGGGATCACAGACTAGGTTCAGCCTCAACGGATCATTTTTGAGTAAGTACTGATTCATCTCATCAATACGAACACTTCTAATCAAAGCCCATTAGATTCATACTCCATAAGAAGTAGGATCTTACAGACCTTGAACGCCCTGGACTTCGACTTCTTGATCTGCTCCCTCTCCGTCTTGGGCTTCCTTGAGTGATTCTTCCACGTGCACTGCTAGAACGCGGAGGAATGTCCACATTAGAAGAATGTTCGCATTGTAATGTACGGACTCGGTCGAGCTGGATATTGCTGCAGTATACTCACCTGCCAGCTTTAAAGCTGGCAGCAAGAATCTCCTTAATGGCTAAGGTTGTCGAGAACAGTCGTCTAATCGAGAACAGTCGCGCCTTGTTTGAGATACAGGTCCTAAGTTACTGTTGAAGGTTCTATATCCACCCGATCCCTAGGCCATGGTATCTTAGTTTCAGTATATCCCTTCTCCATCGCCCAACATCGACCATCTTCTTTTCTCACCAAATCTTAGCACAACAAATGCATTCATCAGCGCCGTTCTAGCAGATGACCTGGGTCTAGTGAAACTTACCTTCTCAAAAAGTAAGAAGAAACGAAAAACAGGTAGAGGTTACTGTTCCAAACGGTGACTGGAGCTTCTATGTGAATTGGCTAGGTAATTATAAAAAAGTCCATCTCTGCCAGAGCCAACAGATCACTCTCTACATTACAGAAGCAAAAAGATTGCTTGCGGAAAGATCTAATGAAAAACTCACATAGCCTCCGCATTTGGGCCGTATTTGGCATACTGTACAGCAATTTCCCTTCCATCCACGTTTCTGCCTGCAAAAATAATTCACTTGACCTCAACCACACAAATCCGCGGAGTTCGCCCAGGACATGGACACTTCAGTTTCATAGACGATACAGCCACCGAGATCTCCCTAGTAGGTGTGACAACATTTACTTGGTAAACATAACAAAGCTAAACCTATACCATATAACAAACCCCTGGGTCTCAAGTAACTCAGGAAATTTGGAAGGCCCACTTTGACCAGGTAACTGAAAGCCAACCACAAACCTCACCGACATTTGAATCTTCATATATGAACCAACAACCTATGGACACTTTCCAACTTAGGGGTTTCAAACTGCCAACAATCCCCAGGTTGGGAAGGCTGGTTGCAGAACTCGTTAAGAAATTACCATCTAGACGCTCGATAGCCTTCTGTGCCTCGTCAGCATACTTATACCGTACAAAAGCAAAGCCGCGTGATTCACCAGTTCTGCATGTCCAAACGGGAGGTATCATACACGGAAAAAAAAAGGTTACAGTGATTTCAAAGTGCTACTAGTAAAATGAATGCTTAGGCGTAAGCCCCTTCACATACTTCACCAGATGGACGATCCCAAATCTGCTTACCTCCGGTCTCTTGGAATGAAAATATCCACAACCTTGCCATATCTGTCGAAAAGAGGGAAAAGATCATCCGCGCTTGTGCCTGTAAACAATTGCACAAGATTTAAACGAATTTGACACAAGTAAGTGGTAGGACAAAAGAAAATACAAATTTCACTCAAAGTTTGTTCGACGGATAATGACAGACCGAATTGATCAAAGGACGAGGTACATGAACGTACGAAAGGTAATGTTCAACACGAGTAACGAGTATGTGTCTCGGATGTCCGGAGGACCTGCCCTCCCAAAATGCGACATCTTCCCCTCTTAGATTGAACCTGTAAACGACTGCCGCACCATCAGCACACGCGTAGCACAAACATCAATCGACCATACGAGAGCATAAAGTTCATGTGGAGGAATTTCGGTCAACTTTAGAGAGAGCTTTAGGCAACAAAGATGGAATCATCACTACACAATCACATGTGTTTCATAAGTCTGGAACTCATAATCACGAGTTTTCTGATGATGGTAGCAAGAAGTCAGTATAGGGGTTAAGGTCTGGTTCCAGAATCGGCCCATCGAATACGATATTCATCTCTAAAAGAATTCCATTACGTAGTGGCACACACCAAATCGGCACCAAACGTCCGTGTTGACAATCAATTTGTTATAATCTGCTCACTATTATTTACTGCGAATGTATAGGGTATCTAAGTCAGAAACAAACATCACTTCGTTCTAACCAACAGTGACGACCTGTCCTCTTAACAGATTTTGAGTAAAAATTGTTCGAAACCGACAAACAACGACTTTGACGCTTCAACACAAGGAGAAAGATGACTGAACTACAGGCCTCATATATTCGTACATGATACCAATTAGGGCAGAAAGCACCCTCCCCTTGACACACAATCAACAGTGTATTGAACAGGAATGTTACATATTACTATAGAATGGACTCCGAACGTAACTGAGGTCATTCGTCGAGAATTATGACAAGAATGTGCTTGAAACTTGAAAAATATTAACCTCAAGAATTCGGACCAATTCTTGTTCTACTCCGAAGATTTTGAATGCCCGGGACAGGATTTGTCACCGCAAACGTATCGTCCACACGGCGAAAACGTGACACTCGTCACAGAATTTGGAAAAAACTGTTAAACAGCTTAACCACAAAATTTCAAACAGCCTCTCCGTATAAAAGATGACTGCAGAAATTCATGACATAACTGCATGAAGCACTGACCAAAGCAACGTGAAGGAGCGGTGCCAATTCCTGTGGGAAATAGGCTTCTCACAAGGCGCAACGAAAAAGGAGGTGGGGAAGTAAAATTCAAACACGCCCATAAACCAAAACCACTACAATGACACGCAACCAATAGTCGTGAATGAACTCAAAGCAACCTGTGTATGGCCCCTACCTGAGCGTGCAGAGTCCTATGGGTGTGAAGCTCCTGGGCTCCTGAGCACAGGTCGAATGCAAACGACGAGGCAAGAAATTTAGGTTTCTCTGTTTGCAGGAAGGAACGATTTACGTGCTATTCGACGAGAGGGAGGTAGAGGTCGACTAAACGATACGAGAGAACGAGCGGGATGGCGAATGCACCTGTGGACAAACTAGGTAACGGCAGCGAGATACAATGATATCGTCCGGAAGTCATCGAAAGCCAACCACGGCACATAATATCTACCTGGTTGATTTCCTTTCTTGCAACTGTGAGGGATGTGAACTGCGGCTCCGTGATGTGAACTTCATCATGGAATGTAATATCATTGTGATTCTATTTTTCTTCGTTTTACTCGTTTTTGTTTGGAAACAAGGTATGGGCCTGAGCATGACGTGATTACTCTTGAAATCACTGTGATGTGATATCTTCTAAATAAAATAGCTCTATGAATAAATGTAATATTTTTATCAAAGAAAAATGTCCATATCTTTATTGAGATTTAGGACACGCTCTTAGCCAAATTGAAAAATATTAGTAGAATTGGTCTATTCAAATCTTTTGGGTTTATAAATAACTCTTTTAATTCAACTTATGGTTCGGGTTTGAGTACATCAAACAATTTTTCACTATGCTCATACTATCATATATGGTTTGATTGTTCAAATACAATATCATGAGAGTTTTAAGCATTTAAGTATATTTATATCTAGCATTTCCTCATATGATTTGTTAGGTTAAGGTTAGTGGCTTTGCAATATTTAGGAACTATGCCATCACTTCCCCTTCTAGCTTTGATCAGAACTATAAATGGCGCATCGTGTATAAACAAAGAAGATAGTTTATCTAACATCTTCATTTTTTGAACAATCTATTAAACAGCAAAATGGTATCGTGCAGGATCCAAACAAGAGAATCTAAACCCTGGCTTGTGAAGAATTAAGTTAAGTTTGCTGCCATACAGTGGTGGATTAGATGAAATGCTAGGTTTTTTTCGAAATTCATAAGAATAAAGAATAAATCATGCAACTTAAGTATGTTAGCCATGTCACATAGGCGAAAATACAAACTCTTTCAAACTATAAAATGGAATAAAAGGCGTTGAGAAGATGTCTTATTGCTAAAAGCCACACGATAAAAATCATCGATACTGTTGCTTCGTTGTACATCTGGTGTCATTCACTTTTGATTGAAGCAATTTGTAATCCTGATTCACGTTAGGATGTTTAAGTCATCTCACTTACTTAGATCATTAATTGTTTGGTGTATATTTCAAAGTAAACAAATGGTTAGCATCCCAATAAAATTATAAAGTAGAATTAAAAAGACAAGGACTTCTTTATGACTTTCGCATAACCTACAGTTATATGCTCCATCACAAACCTGTAAGAAAATTTGTTCTTCACATTTGAATGATAGCCGATGGAAAGAAATGTGATTTTAAGTATGCTACTTTTATGATGACATATAGATATTTGTAGTACATAGAACATAGATGGCTAAATTTGTCAAATAATTTTTTTTGCTAGTGAATAATCTGCAAGAGTCAAGTTAATTTCACTTTACATTGTTATTTTTATATTGACTCATTGGAAATCTCAGATTTGATATGGTTTGATTAGTTGGACATGTTGAAGAGTATCACTGATTTACACAGATCCTTCATGCTATATATATAGGAAAAATCAAATATTTATATGACGAAAAAATAATCATCGACCACTAGCTATTAATGCCTTATATATATATATATATATATATATATAGAACTTTGCCATAGTTTTGTATGGTGTATATATGGAAACAAGGATATTATTATCATGCGATCACATGAAGTTGATTCATTTGGTTGCAACAATGAAGGTTTATGTGTTGGTTTTCCAAATACTAACCTTATTATCGTAATTTAAAATAAAAAAATGAAACACTAGATATTGGATTGATTATTGTCACAGTATTTATCATCATTACTTCCGCTTTTTATAATCAGGAATTTCTGTTATACTATTTTTTTGAATAACATGTGCTTGTAAGATTGTATTGTCGCATACCTGAAAAATTGCAAAATATCTATAAATCACATCATCTAACCTAAAGACATGAAGATTTATGTTCTTATCATCTCACATGAATTTCTCTTTAGGTGGATATTACAGAGGTTGATAAATGCCTTCAAAATATTGTAGATTAATATATTATAATCTTTTTTCCATAAAGATTGCTGTGGATATGTCAAAGTCATTAAAAAAAATTTAACCAATTTCCAACAAAGGATTTTCTTAAAGATTCAGATCGTGTGAACCACTACTTTTAACACCAAACGCATTTTGTATCTCTTATTCTATGGCTTTCAAGCTTTATCTTCTTTGTTTGATAATTAATGTGTTAAAGTAAAATGCATATTTTTATTTCAACATTTGCATTATCTCTAGCTTCTAAAAACTAGGAAAATAGGTAGGAAATGTACTTGTGTTTTAATAGTAAAAATGTCTAACATCTTCATCACATTTTTTTCACATTCTCACATGATTTTTGTGAGTCATAGATATATTTTCAATAAAGAAGACTCAACCTATCACAATTTATATATCTTATGTATCTTAATTATCTCTTCACTTTGAAACCTCCATATAGATAAATAAAATGTCAGTATTCATTTATTTTTTCCTTTTACAAGTTATATAATAACTCAACCACAAATCAATTTGTACAAAACAAACATTATTTTATATTCTTATTAGTGTAAAAATTTGTAATTTTTTATTATACATTGTATGATTAACTTATGTTATCACTAGGGCTCCGATCGGATTTGAGAAAACTCAAAAATCCTAGTTCGGATCAGGTCGGATTCAAATTTGGATAGAGTGTTATACCCAACCCGAAATCTAGAATTTGACGAGATCATAAATTGAGGGAAGAGCGGAAGAGTGAGGTAAAGCAAGTTTGGGTTTAGGGATCGATCTGCTGGCGGCTTACAACCTTCAGCCTTCACCGTCAAGGCTCTACCGCTTGCCGTTATACTTGCTGTAGGGAGCTGTTCCGCATGTGGACATTGCATGCGATATAAATCTTGTACGATTGATTTAAAGTCTCAACAACCTTTTGGTGATGATATGAACATACTAAGTCTTCCATTTGCTTCCATGTTCTAGGTTGAGTGCTACGTACAATCTAGTTGAAGCTACAATTATATTTTTTTATTTGATTGTGATTCCAAAATTACCCATTTGCAGGCAATGTTTTGATAATCAAGAACTCGTTATACTTGATGCAAAGAGGTGCTACGCATGTGAACATTGCATGCGATGCGGATCTTGTAAGATTGGTTGTCAGTCTGATCGACCGTTTGATGATGATCTTAGCGTTCTCAGACTTCCAATTGCTTTCATGTTCTTCGTTTAGTGCTACGTACAATCTGATTGAAGCTGCACTTATATTTTTTTGTGTGATTGTGATAACAAAACAATCCATTTGCAGACAATGGTTTGATAACTTAAGACCCGTTATACTTGATGCTATACTCAATTATACATATGGATATCGCATGCGATGCGGATCTTGTAAGATTGGTTGCCAGTACGACCAGACTTCCGGTGATGATCTCAACATATTCATACTTTCATTTGCTTTCATGTTCTTGGTTCAGTGCTACATACAATCTGGTTGAAAAAATTGTCATTTCCTGCTTCTGGGTATGAGGAAATCATGGTTATTTCATCCAAGCAAGTGGCTGGCGCATCCTCTATAGGTGACATGGTAATTAACATACGCGTGGTATTAAAAGACAAGTTCGATAGTGTATTAGAAGTTGGCGTCATTAGAGCAAGCTAAGTGCTTCCTGCCTATAGTACGTGAAGTGAAATGAATGAATCGACAAAAACTTAGACTAGAAAGATACTTAAAAACAACTAAAACCGTGCTGTTTAGGATTGTAGTCACCGAGCTCTAAGCATCGATGACTAGTTTGTGAGCTTGAAAGTTCAAGTTCAATGAGCATTGAGATTATTTTAAACTGATCAGAACTTTGTCGAGATGATGAGTAGAGTTTTCACTGCCTCTTGTTCCGTGGAAATCTTGATGCAGTTTGTTGGACTTTAAGACTCGATGTGATATGTGTGAAATGGAATTAGAAGTAGTCAAGGAGTTAATCATAGTTAGCTTAGTTATGACTAAGTCTAGCTAGTTATAACTAAGTCTATCAAGTTATAACTATGTTTAGCTAGAATGTCTATACTTAGCAGAACAACTAAAGAAATTATAGAAGATTTGAGTGAGCACTTCAATTTTGTCTTGTACAAAAATCTAGATTCTAAGGAAAAATACTTTTGATTTCATATTTAGTTTTGATTGGTTTGACTAAGTCTAATGTTGACTTAGTGGCAAGTGGAGATTCTAGAAGTTGAAAAGACACAAATGACATGTCGCCATCTCAGTATAGGCAGTAGTAAAAATCTAGAAAGTTTACGAGGCCAATGGCATGTTGCCACGTATTGATAACTATCAAACTTACTATGATTTATTTTTGAAAAAGTAGTTTAGATAAGAATTATCATTTGTTACCATGGTAACTTCTCAAATAGTATATATAGAGAGGTAAAGAAAAGACTCTCAAGCAAGTTTTGAAGAGTTCATGTGCCGACACTTGTTTCATACATGAAAGAGTGACGATTTTCAATATTCTAGAGTGTCGATATGTGTGTGAGTTGGAGTAATACATTGAGTGATTGTGTAAGAGTGTGTTTGAGCTATGAATATAAGGAGAAATTCTAGTCTATTGAAACCATGATGAGCTACCGCAAGACCATATGAAGTAAACATGAGTGAGAGTCACCCGGGAGGTTGCTAGACGACAACGTTCAAAGTTTTTGAAAGCATGCGTATCACATGAGGAGAGGAATTCTGCTCGTTTATCAACGTTTGTACAAGCAGACTGCAATTGTATGATGTTGTTTCTGACAATGTGAAGCACGTGATTTTTTGAGATCTATCAAAGTTTGGAGCGATATGGATTGAGTCAGTTTCTTGACGTTAACGTTTGGGAATGAATTTTAGCCATATGACAATCGAAACCAGGAGAGATTTCTCTGCAAGGGTAGGTAATTATCTGCCACAAGGAAAAGTGAGAGTGAAGTTGGTTACCTTTGCCTTCTTAATTGCTTGGATCCAGTGCACTTGAAGTGAGTAGAC